CAGAGGAGTCCTTTTACTTTATTAGAATAAAGGGAGAGGCCATGGGCCATTCCCCTGGGGTCTCTCAAATTTTTGGAGGGCGCAGCCTCCTTTTTATCCTAATTCTCGGCCACTTGTCCCTTCTCTCTTGCCCCATAGGCTGAGGTACTTGAGAGGTACAGGCTTCCCTGAACGCCTGATACCTGGGATACCTTTTCCCCCCCCACGCATAATCCCTTCTTAATTCTTAACTTTTGTGGAATTCATGATACTCTTTCAGTGCCTCTTTGATCTTTTAGTGGAATCCATCCCATTGTTTCCGTTGTCTTTTACTGATAGCTGCATCTTATCAGCAGACCCACAGCTTGTTTGTAAAGACAAACCCGTCATTCCTCTCTGTGGTAACACCCTCCATCACTTCTGTTCTCTCTACAGTTTCATGTGGTCCTTTGAGAAGATTCACAGGAGTATTGCACACATCTTCCAGGGTGAGCTGGTGGCCAGCTTTGATGAAGAATTCCGCATTTTGTTTGCACAGTCAGAACCTCTCATTCCTCCAGCCAATGTCTTGGCAAAGGCAGAAAATTCGTTCGCCATGGCTCCCTTTGGCAATAACATGCCTTTCTTTCCCAAAAAAGGCCCCCTGATGTTCCAGAGGGATGAGAGTCTCTTCCCCTCCTTCATGGACAGAGTAGATCCGGACAGGTACTTCCTCTCCAATTTTCGACGGGATGACATGCTGCGGCACACTGTGGAGGGATCAGCCATGCGGATGTATAAAAAGGTGGAAATGGAGAATTCCCAGATGGATCCAGTCAGGGGTTTCCTCCGTTCCAAGCAGCTGGAGCTGGATGCTTTTAAGAGACACAGTTTTGCAGAAGGAACGTTTGAAAATTTTGCTTCTGCCAAACAGTACACCCGGCAGATGTTCATGAACAACATGGACGAGTTCAAAATCCAATCCAGTCATTTCCAGAAGGACCAGTTCTACCAGTACCAGTTTGAACATCCCCATCTTTCTGGCAGACCTCAGGGATTCTTTGAGAGGATTCGAGGTGGGAGGCCAGGATTCAATGAACTGGAAGACTATGGAGAGGGACCCCGATACCCTGAACTGGAGCCCAGTTTCCCACAAGAGGGTTTCCCCTTACGGCTGGATTACGTGCCCTCAAATTCTTCCAGGGAGGTGAGACACGGCTCTGACCAGCTGAACCCTGCGGGCAATGGCCCCATGGGAATGATGCTACGGAGGCAGAATATAGGACAGAAATTCATTTGCCAGACTTCTCCCACGCAGAAGCAGAGCCTGGAGCAGCGCCTGTTCCTACAGGACAAGGATGAAGACCAGGATGATGACAAGAGCATGCAGGAAAACAGAACAGGGTTACGGAACTGGAGGATTTCTTCGTACCTCAGTGCATACCAGTCTGAACCAGATGAAGGGCTCCCAATGCCGATGGAGTCCGAGGCATATAACGATGCTCTTGGGGATCCCCTCACAAAGCACCCCACCGACCTCGTCCCAGCCTTCAAATCCCCCATGCCTTTCAATAGCAAGGCACTGGGAATTGACAGTGCCAAAGAATCTGCAGATCCTGATAGAGCAGGTGAAGAAAACTCTATAATGAAACCAGATGCCTTCAGGTCCAGGATAAATCCCTTGATCCAGAGGAGCTCCAGGCTCAGGTCCTCTCTGATTTTCAGTGCTGCCAAATTAGATCAACCCAACACCACAATAGAAAAGGTGCAGATGATCCAAAAAGAGCAAATGTCCAGTGAGTTAACAAAGGACAATGAAACTGTCAAGACAGCTGCCTCCTCCAAAGTGGCTGAGCTGCTGGAGAAGTACAAAGCTGTGGGCAAGGACATGGAACGGGGCACAGTCACCCACACCAAAGCTGTTTCAGGTTACCTACAGGAGGAATCACAGAACACAGAGAAGAAATGTACCAAATCTGTGCAGTATAAGATTCTGGAGAGCAGGGTGCTGGACTCCAAAGACTCCTGCAGTACTTACAAAATGCATGGAGAGTTGGACAGAGCATTTGGAATGGCCTCATCCACCCCCCAGCTTGGGGATGTGTTGAGTAAAGATCCCCTGGCACATCTTGGCACTAAGGTGGACAAGCTGTCATCCCGATTTTACCCCATTGAGAACAAACCTCCTCTTCCAGAGAAGGAGAGCCTGATATTTGTAGGAGACACTCAGAAATTGGCTCTTCCAGAGAAGAAGGACAGAGTGACCTTCAGAGAAGACTCTCCAAAATTAGTCAACACAGAAATGAAGAAACCACAGGTTAGGGCAAGTACTGCATCCTCAGTTCTAGAAAGCCTGTCTAGAAGTCAAGGGTCTGACAGCTCTCTCAACAAATCTGAGGAAGACTGTTCAAAACAAGAGCAGAACCCCATGGAGTTTCTAAGAAAAGGGTCCCTACGGCTGAAGCAGCTTTTGAACCCTAAAGGTGAAAAGAAATTGGAGGAGGAACCTGCTTCTGAGAGTGGGAAATGTGACAAGCAGGCAGTGGTTCTCAAACGATCATCGATAGCGGATGGCCAGGAAGCAATGGAAGAAGAAAAAACCCACAAATTCACAGCACCTCTCCCTCCCAAGAGCAGCCAGACAACACAAGGGAGGTTTCCTTCCTCCACAGCCAACATCCTGTACAGCAGCAACTTGCGTGACGACACCAAGGTGATCCTGGAGCAGATCTCTGCCAACAGCCAGAAGAACAGAGCCGAGCTGGCCAAGCAGCTGCCATCCACCAGCAACCCTGACCTCTCCAGGTCAACCACAAGCTTGGAAAGAAAAGGGGAAAAGGAGAAAAGCTGCAACATCCACAGGTCTGAGAGCTTTGGGAGCCAGAAACGGAACCTCCAGAGGCAGCCATCAGAGGATAGAGACACCCTCCTGAAAAAAATGGAGAACATGCGTAAGGAGAAGCGAGTCTACAGCAGGTTTGAGGTGTTCTGCAAGAAGGATGAACACACGAGTCCCAGTGAAGAGGAGTATGACACAGATGCCAAAGACAAGAAAATGGGAAAATTCATGCCCAAGATCCTGGGGACCTTCAAGACCAAAAAATGATCCTAGAAATCCTATTTAATTCCATTTAATCACTGACTGTCACATGGAAACGAGGAAGAAACTTGTCTGTGATGGCTACAAACCGCAGTATGAGGTCAAACTCCAGCATGAGCCTCCCATGGCACAGTTTGCTCAATAAAGTCAGGTGGTATCAAACAACCTTATCACAATATGTTCCAAATAAAACAATTAAAATGCCAACATGCTTAAAAAACAAGTCTGTTACCGTACAAAACTAAGTGATAGTCTCTGTTAAACCCAGGGAATATTTTCAGCAGACAAAACCATTCAAAAAAGAAAAAAAAAAAAAAAAGAATAGAAAATTCAGTACTTGATTTTGGGCCAGAAAAGATAAATGCATACAGACACACACACAGGTATTAACTGGAAAAAGTATTTAAACCTCAGTGGTTTCTCAGGTGAAGTTACTCTTTTTCTGTATCTCACAATGAGTCAGACACCTTTTTGAAGGTTTACATACAGAAAAAAAAAAATAGTCATAATCAATGTTTTGGCCTAGTCTCTGGTTCTGATCTTCCCCAGCAGCACAGGCCCAGCTTTTTTGTATTTTCCAATTCCTGAGCCTGCGGGGGCTGGTTTGCTTGTGGTTTGTTTCTCTGTGTATAGGGAATTACTTATTTTAGGGGCTGAGCTGAAAGAACCTGCTGCGGTGCTAGTGATGGAGAAGAGCTTGGTTTTAGGAGGCTTTTTCAGGTGAGTCTGAGTTTAAATAAGCATCTAAAGTAAAATCCTGCCTTGGCCAAGTCGTGACTTCCTTGACAGTGTAACTGCAGTTCATGAGGTGACAGATCTGGAGCAGCATGAGCAGCTGAGAGAGCTGGGGGGGATAACAACCATTCTTCACAGGCAGAGTAAAACCTCAGGGACAGAGACAAGACCTTCAAGTTAATGAGGAAAATGTATCCAAAATAATCACTGAAACAGGAATATGAAGTTTCCTGTAGTCCCAGTGTAACCTGGAAAAACGTTTACAATGTCGCAGCAATAGCATCTCATGAAATTTTGCTTTCTTAAAGCAAAAACAATAAAAATGTCCAATTCCCTGAAGAAGACTGCCTACCAATAGGCAATTTCCTTCTCAACACAGTAAATGCTGCTTTGAAAGACAAGATTTTATGCAGTGCCATATAAAGAACTTATTATTACAATATTACACACAACAGAAGCTAATAAAATTAAATATTGTAGAAGAACCCATCTGTATTTCTAATGCTTTTCTACTTGATTTTAACAAAACCAGACCATAATGAACTCTGTTCATCTAGCCTAGAACAGTCATAGAAATGACTGAAGGGTTGTAAGATTACCTGTGAAGAGTTAGGTCTTCACGGTCTTCAGAGAACACTTACCCATTCTACTCAAAAAAATACCCACCATTTAGGCAGACTGCTGAAGAATCCCTGGATGGGCTGGAAGGGACCTTTTAAAGGTCACCCAGTCCCAACCCCTGCCTGCCATGGCAGGGACACCTTCCACTCTCCCAGGTTGCTCCAAGCCCCGTCCAACCTTGAACACTTCAAGGGATGGGGCAGCCACAGCTTCTCTGGGCAACCTGTGCCAGGGCCTCCCCACCCTGACAGGGAAGGATTCTTTCCCAAGATCCCACCTAACCCTGCCCTGTGGCAGTGGAAGCCATTCCCCCTTGTCCTGTCACTCCAGGCCTGTGTCCAAAGTGCCTCCCCAGCTCTCCTAGAGAGGTTGTTTGTTTTTTTTTAGAGGCTGAGAAGGGGCTCAAAGGTCTTCCCAGAGCCACCTTTCCTGCAGGCTGGACACCTCCAGTTCTCCCAGCCTATCTCCAGAGCAGAGGCGCTCCAGCCCTCAGAGCATTTTCTTGGCCTTGCACTTGGCTTTGTTGAACTTTAGGAGGCTCCCCTGGACCCTGAATATGTCTAAAAACACTCAAGTATCAGAATAATGCAGTTTTCTGTGATTTTTTGCAGTAATTCAAACGAGGAATACGAACCGACAGCATTCACTGTTCTCAGGGTGTGAGAGCAAACACACTGTGTCCTTGACTGCTGAGACTGAAGGCAGAGGGGTTGGATTCCCTTTCCTATTAGCTTGTCCAGAGGAAAGAAGGACGTTGTCCTAAGCAATGAATAAAGCATTTCCTCATATTTTGCTCTCCCCTGCTGCCCTTGCTTAGTCAGGAGCTGAAGGATGAGCTGTACTTCACCTGTCTGGAACATCTCCACAGTCACTGCTCAGGATTTTTGGAGGCCTTTGCTATTGGAAGACTCTGCAGCGCAGATTTACTGATGGTTCCATAGGCTTGGGAATAGCTGCCCATGGATGCCTTTGGATCACCCACAGCTCCCATGTTTGCAGTGATCTGGAACATCTTTTTACTGGGCTTCAGAAGGGGACGAACATCTTTACTGCGACACTGAGAGTTTCTAGGATTCTGTGTGAGAAAGAAAAGCCAAGAAAAGTTAACAGCCTGGAATCAGCTTTCCAGAATGCAAATAGGACACAGGTTTGGCTTTGGTTAGCACTATCCTCTCAGGAGACAAACACAAACTCAGGGCACATGTAGGATGATCTTCTCCCTCTTCTGCTCTTCTAGTCACAGAAAGTTGTTTGCAATTCCCTAAAGATTCTTCCAAATGCATTGGTCATGTGTACACCTGCATGTGCAGCAAGTCCCATCTTGGGGAATTTTCTCTCAAAACATTTTGGAACGGATTCCAAATCAGAGAGGGGGGTTGCAAGTGTGCTAATGGGCATGCTTGAAAGTTTCTGACAACCTGAGCTAGTGGAAGGTGTCCCTGACCACGGGAGAGGGGTGGAAGGTGAGTTTTTTGGTCCCTTCCAACCCAAGCAGTGTGTGATTCTGTGAATCTGTGGTGCCTCCTTCCATACTCTTCCTCTGTCATAAGCTTCCTCCGATCACCACTGCAGGTGCCAGCAGTCACCAAGCAGCAGACAGCCAGCTCAGGAAGAAAAAAAGCAGGAGCAAGAGGTCATTAAAGAACCCAGTGAGGGTGATGACTTCAGCAAGAAAGCATGGCCAAGATCAGGGAAGACTGACACCCTCACAGCTCAGCAACAGCAATCCATCAGAACCACAGAATCATGAAACCACAGAATCACTGAGGTTGGAAAAGACCTCTAAGCCCACTGAGTCCAACTGCTCCCCCAACATGGCCAAGGCCACCGGTAATCCATGTCCCCTAGTGCCACGTCCACGTGGCCATTAAGTCTCCCCAGGGATGGGGACTCCACCACTGCCCTGAGGCAGTCTGTGTCACAGCTGCACAGCCCTTTGCATCTGGGTTTTTTTCCAATATCCAACCCGAACCTCTCCTGGAACCCACTTGAGGCCATTTCCTCTCATCCCGTCACTTGCTTCCTGAGAGCAGATCCTGACCCCCACCTGACTGCAACCTCCTGTCAGGGAGTCGCAGAGACAGAGAAGGTCCTCCCTGAGCCTTCTTTTCTCCACAGCTACTGCTGCTGCTCCGGACTCTGTTCCCTCCTCTGGACACACTCCAACCCCTCAATGGGGCCCCTCCTTTCTTGTTGTGAAGAGCCCAAACTTGCCCTCAGGACTGGAGGTCCCTCAGCAGTGTCCAGCACAGGGGACAGGCACTGCCCTGGGCATCTGGCCACACCGTGGCTGGTACAAGCCAAGTGCCGTTGGCCTCTTGCCCACCTGGGCACACCTGGTCTCATGTTCAAGCTACTGTCATCAGCACCAGCAGGTGACCTTTTCCAGCTTTCCAGCCACTCTGCCTGGAGCACTATATGGAGTTGCTGAGACCCAGGTTACCACAAGTAAGGACTAGAAGTTAAGCTACTCACATTGTAAAGGTTCTGCACACTTGTAGGAGAGAGCTGAGTGTTTATCCATGTGGTTTGTCTCCCTAGTTTTTCATTGTTGGAGATTCTGGACTGTTGAGGTGGTGCAGAACAGTTCCTGATCCCAACACCAGGATTTGCATTTCCTGCAGAAGGAAAAACATGAGAGAAAGTAGGAAAATCAGAAGAACACAGAACACACTGACTGAGGAAGGGACAGTCCCATACTCAACACTCATTCAACAGTGTTTTGTTCTTATGTAATTTCCCTCCCACACTTTCAGCCCCTCATTTTACAATGAAAATTCCCTTACTTTCTTTTACAGCACTCATTCTCTCTTCCCCACACTAGGTGGGTTACACCCCAGTGTAGGAGGGTGGTACCTACTTTGCACAGTGGTGTGTGTGATGGGGTTGTACATCATCACACTAATCTGTGATCTCTGACATACAGTTCCGGCCAAATCCTTGCTCTGGCTAGGTACTTTTGGCTGGTCCCCAGCTGTGGCTCCAGTGTGCACATGTGAAGGGTTTAGAAGAGGGGGTGTTGGTTCTTGCTGGACTTTCCTGATGGGTACAGTCACCGAGCTGAAACCTGGGAGGAGTGTGGATTCAGACTGTCTCAGCTGAATGTTTTCTCTCCACCCTTGCTCCTTTGGAAGGCTCTTTGACTTATTTTCAAGGATCATCTGCAGAACAGAAAAGCTGGTTAGACCTGATACAGAAATACAGCAGAAAAATAAAACATCAAAATAAAGAGGAATACTTATAAATATCTGCAATTTATTTTACAGGGTAAGAAACCATTTTGGAACTAGGTGATCTTTAAAGTACCTTTCAACCCAAACCATTCTATGAATCTTTTTCAGACATCATGTTTCAGAGATTTTTCTTTGCCCTGTGGGAATCTGACATGTAAAGGTCTCTCAAAGATTATGACTGAACTGGAACTGGCTGATCAAACACCAAGGTGTAACTGTGCCAGCAGGTACAGAAAGCCCAGGGGAACACAAAGACAAGAAAATAACAGAATTTTTTAAGTGTGTGCAAGAATGGCAGGTTACCTGGAGGATTAGGATTTGGGAAAATAGGATGGAAGTACCTCATATAATTTATTTCTATATTCTGCCACAGACAGTTGGACATCATCACCCAAAGGAAGGATCACATCAAAATCCAAAGAGGGCTCCTTGGAAGGACAGTGGAATCTGAGAAAATGAGAACACATCATGTAATTCACTGACTGGATATTAAAATTTGAACAGGACTGTTAAACAATCTCATTGTTTAATGTAAATAGGGTTGGAGAAGATAAAGAATTAGCTTTGCCATTTTTTCTGTAATGCATCTAAAGAAAATTCGTGCCAAGGTCAGGTTTGTAACGTATCAGAATGTATCAGGGGAAGCTGCATACTGGTGTCAGTCTCACCTTCTCACATAAGGATGCTGCAGAGCCTCCTCTGCTGTGAGCCGTTTGTCGGGGTTAAATACCAGAAGTTTCTTCAGCAGATCCAAGGCAGGCAGTGGAGTAGAGGATGGGAAAATCTCCTCAAATGCTACTCGCTGCCTAGAAGTCAGGAAAAAAGTGATACAAGCTCTCAGTGTCTAATTCCCAGTGAGGGCAGGAGTGACAGTTCCAGGATCACATCAAGGTGACACCAGACACGAGTTCACCCACAGTGTGTAATAATCCCTGAATCCTAGAATGGTTTGGCTGGGAAGGGACCTTAAAGCTCACCACTTTCCAGCCCCATGATCCCACAAATCTAGACCTGAGATTATAGAAACATACTTCTCTGTAAGTTACAGAGAAGATAAAATTTAAAAATCTGGTTTTGCATTTTGAAATCCCAAATATAATTGTGAACATAATAAAGAATAAAGTATCTTCCAAAAAATCAGTTTTAAGCACCAAATCTTACTCATCTTGTAAATAATTTTTATTTAAGGAGACAACTTAGAGCCCCTTCCAGTGCCGTAAGAGGCTCAAAGACAGCTGGAGAGAGACCCTGGACAAGGGCCTGGAGTGACAGCACGAGTGGAAAGGGTTTCCCACTGCCAGAGGGCAGGGTTAGATGGGGTATTGGGAAGAAATTATTGCTTGTGAGGGTCCTGAGGGAGTGGAATGATTTCCTGGAGAAGCTGTGACTGCCCCATCCCTGGAAGTCCGGGGGGATGGGGCTTGGAGCAACCTGGTCTAGTGAAAGGTATCCCTGTCCATGTCAGGGGGGCGGAATGAGATGATTTTTTAAGGTCCCTTCCCACTCAAACTTCTGACTGTTCCATGACTCCATGGTCCTACATTAGATGATTTGAGACACAGGAACACCTCAAACTTACCGGGAACTCATGTGGCTAATAACTGAGGCCTTGTACTCTGACTGCAGAGCCAAAATATCTGCAATAATAAAAAGACACTGTCACTGCCAAGATGAGGATTGGCAGAGCTACACAGTTTGTGATGGAAAGCCAATATTTGATATTAACATAGGAAATTATCCTCATAAAACTCAGTTGGAGATCTGTGGAAGGGAGATGGAATATTTACTAACGAATTTTCTAAGCTGATTTTTGAATTCCTATTTATTAATCATACACTTCATAAACTTGCATTCTCATAGTAACAGATGCAGAAGCACCACAATATCTGAATTTCTTATTTTCCTCTAACACTAACATTCAAGATGAAGATTTTCATTTCTGTAATGAGAGATACCTTCTTCCTTGACCCAGCAGGGCTGCTTTCTTCCATTCTTAACCCCTTCTCTAGATACCTTTCCCCGCAGCAGAGTCCCACCTTCTGGGGATGGAGCAGGGATGACCCTCAGGATCTGCTCTATTTGATTCATTGTTGATGTTCCAGGAAAAAGTGGCTTTCCAAGCAGCATCTCTCCGAGAATACAGCCAATGCTCCACATGTCTACACCCTTAGTGTAACTATGAACAGGAGTAGAACAGAGGTAGGTTTAAATCATGCAAATATTTTCCTGTACCTGGTACTCACATCACCTACATTGATTTATTTGCTATAAAGCTTACCTGGTGATTTCTTACATATAAATGCTCACAGGTTTGAACTATAAATTGAATAACATTTGGGAATCATGAGTCTGGCAAGCATGAAACAGAAAGATTTATCCTACTCAAAGTCTAGTCTAAGAAATCATAAAAGAAAATATATTATAGAGAAATGCCAGAACAAGGTCTGGCATTATTAAAGGTAATGCCAGAACAAGATACTATATCCTCTTCATATGACCAAGGATGAAGATACACATTCCTCTTACTTTGGTCATAATGCATATACAAAGTAGTTACAGTTCCTTAAGAATTACATTTTTAAGCAAAGCAAATACCAAACAGTGGGTATAGGACAGTTTGCAAAACATCCACATTTAAATCCCATCCATATTGGGATACTACCCTTCATCTATTTATTTATGTTTCTGTTTTTCATATTTAATTGAAAAAAAGGACTAAGCCTGACTAACAGGTAGCTGGTTTAACATTCGATTAGGGAATATTTTATGAAGGTCTATCAAAAAACACTGCTTTAATTTGGAAAAGAGGACTATGTTCTCAAGCAGATTTTGTAAAGCTGTGGGTTTTAAGGGAGAAGAAAGAAGTTTGGTGGGAGAAAGGAGGACAAACAGATGAGCTGCTCAAGTATGTACACTGACACTCTAAGAACACAGGAAGAACATGTACACATTCATAAGAGGTTTTTCTGCCACAAAAGTTTAATCGTATACTGAGAAAACAGACTGCTGACATGACACTGCATATGGTGACACTGAAAATTAAAAGACTGAAGACTTTTAGACAAAAAAATTTGTAAGTAGTGAAGTGCCAGCTCGAACCCCTTCACTTACTTGCGAGAGGCCAGCAGGATCTCAGGGGCTCGGTACCAGCGCGTGGCCACGTACTCGGTGAGTGCAAGGCTGGGCTGGTCCTCGCTCAGCTGGCACAGGGAACGGGCCAGGCCAAAGTCACACAGCTTCACACAGCACTGTGCATCCAGCAGGACATTGGAAGGCTGGATTGAACACAGCAGAATTAATTAGCCTTTTACTCTCTGAATAGCAGATTATTATCAAGATTCTTTTCCTAGTCTCATGCTTGTATACTTCTGCATACTTTTCCTGGAGAAAAGGCTCCAGGGGAGATCTTAGAGCCCTTTCCAGTGCCTAAAGGGGTGCCAAAAGAGCCTGTGAACACAGGCCTGGACAGCACAAGCCAGAATGGCTTCCCACTGCCAGACGACAGGCTTAGATGGGATACTGGGAAGGAATTCTTCCTTGGGAGGGTGGGGAGGTCCTGGCACAGGCTGCCTAGAGAAGCTGTGGCTGCCCCATCCCTCAAAGCTTTCCAGTCCTGGTTGGACAGGGCTTGGAGCAACCTGGGATAGTGGAAGATGTTCCTGTTCATGGCAGGGGGTGGGAGCAGATGGACTTTGAAGGTACCTTCCATCTGAAATCAATCTGTGATTTTATTTAGTGTTCAACAAAATACTGGAGTGAAGGATACAGACTATGACCAAAATGTACCTTCTGATCCCTGTGAATAACATTCCCTGAGTGGATGAATTTAGTTGCCTTCAGGAGTTGGTAGAGAATGTAACACTTGTGGATGTCTTTCAGCAAATTCCCCTTCTTAATCACGGCATGTAAATCTGTCTCTGTAATATATACCAATAATATATTTTCATCAGTAAATATCAGTAGTATCATAAACATTCATGTGTAATCACCACCATACCACTATCAAAGTCATAACAAGAATAACTCCTAAGAGAGGCTGGGTTTGAATGGTTGCTGCAATGCTGAGTCTCACCCATGGACTCAAAGATGAGATAGATGTCTTTGTCATTCTCTGCTTGGATAACATCGAGCAGCTTGATGATATTTGGATGTTCTCCAAATTCCTGCACAGGGAAGAGACATCGCTGTCAAAATCATGCGTTCTGCTTGTGAATCATAAAAAGGGACAATAACCTATTTCAGTTTATATTACTGTCTAGAACAAACACTAACAGGCTATTTCCTTCATTAGGCTTCTTCAGAAATAAACTTAAAAAAAGGATTTGAGTTTGTTCCATAAAAGGAAACCAGTCGATAAAAAAAAATCTCTGTTGAATGGGACATTAGTTCTAACACTCACTCTATACCGTTTATAATAAATTCCAGTCCCCTTTATGCACTTCACTGTTGCTGCTGTATCAAAGAATTATTGGTGGCATGAAAATAGATCATAGTTGCCATCAGCATTCATAGTTAAAAACCCAACCAATCAGACAGAACATGTCAGTCTGAGAGCTGGCTCAGACACTCACAGGCTGCAGCACTGAGGAACTGACCGCATGGAGATCAGACAGCGCACAGAGATACCTGAACGCAGGTATCACACTGCAGGTGAAGTCCATCCTCACACTTTTTGCAGACTGGTAATCTTCATGGGATCATTAAGTTCATCCCCAGCTTTAACAGCTTTTATTTCCCACTTCTGTGCAGCCATGGACACAGTAAACACTTCATAATATTCCAACATTTTATAATGTGCAACATCTAGGAAAGTTCACAAAACAATACATTCACCTGCAGCAACCTGTGACAACACACTCACAAAGCAGTGATACACAGCCAGGCCATCACACACTTTGTTTTCATTCTGAGAACATTCACAGTACCCATCCAAATGATCTATAGAAGGTTTTTACCCAAAAGGGGGCATTGCTCTAGAGATGCAGCCAAATCTTGACAGTGTTACTTGACTGCCATTTAAGAAGGAGAATTCCACTGTCTCACCCTGCCTTGCCCTGGAACTGATGACAGAAAGTCATGAAAAAAATTTCAATCTGCATTAAAAAAAATAAGTTACCTTGAAAAAAACCTTGTCAGGGCCAGTTCTATTAATCTTAGCTTAACGAATAATAATGCTACTAACATACTTACAAAATGACATTCTAAAATTAGCCTAAAATGCACCTGTCGATCTACACTACACTGAACAGCAAACAAAAAACCTGCAAGCAATGACCAGAGCATCAGAGAATCATTCACACCCCAGATTCTACAGCAACTTCTCAATTAGAATAATTAAGATACATAACATAAAATAATAACCTAGTCCATCAAATGACCTTGTGATAAACATCAAGATTGAACAAAGCAACTATTATGCACAGACAAATAAATTAAACATGCAGTTATGAATAACAGAGTATTTTTCACATCTTTTCCTTTCTGAGCCCTCAGTCTCGAACCTCAAGAAAGAGGCTTAAAATAGGAGGGGAAACTAAAAATCTTAAAGTCTATTGAGCACCAAAATTTATAGAAGTACAGGCTGAACAGCACATTAACCTCCCTCTCCCTGCCCTCCGCTACCAAGGGACTCCTTCTTTCCTTCAGAAGAAATATCCTTTTTTCCCCTGCTCCTTCTCCATCCATCCATTCCAGGAGTACTGCACTTTCAGAGATGATCTAACTTACAGGTAATTCACTTCTAACTAATTGTTTCTGTTTCGAGCTTTGAAATTTGCAGCTTCTATTTCAGGCTTCAAGATTGTCTAAAAAGTGAAAAAAAATAATCTCTTTTGGCAGTCTTGGGAAACAGCTCTTCTTTGAGCCCTGCCTCACTTGTGTCCTTAAAAAATCACAAGTTATAACATTATTCCAAAATACTGATGTTTCTACATGTTAAGTCTGAGGAGGAGTTGACAGATAACTGGAGTGCCACTGATAAGGTCAATTATATCAAAACAAGAGCAGTCTTAAGCTATTCCTTGCAGAACTTCCCTTTTTCTTTTGGTTCAATTATTTTAAATTATTTAAATTGCTTACAGCATAATGGAGGAAAACAATTTTGGAGTGTAAATCCCTCTCCCACCCCAGCCCCTTCTCCAAACATGGCAGTTAAAATGTAAGAGAAACGATTTCTATCCACAAAGAAGCAAGAAGTGACAGAAGATGCTGATGTGCTGATGCTGCAGCAGACACATTGCTAAAAATGGAGAAACTAAAAACAAGCCCAAATGGAGAGTGTTTCATTCAGGTGGGTTCACCCTGAAAGGCTCTTTGCCAAGATGGTGCAGAAAAGAAATTGAAGAGTTTTCAACACTAATCAATGACTGCTGCATTTTGGAAAACAATGAGAGAAAAATACTTAGACATCAGAGAGATGATAAAAAATCAGAGAAAAGGAGGAACGTCGACATTACCTGCAGGAACATAATCTCTCGAAATGTTCTCTAGAAATAAAGAAATAACAGTTTATTATCACCTCAAGAGAACAGCAGAACAGAGGTGAAGTTCAATGACAGGGTTAAATCCACTCCTCTTTTGTACATGCCACGATACACAGAGCTTGCTATTTATTGCTTGTTTTTATCGCAATATAGCTGCAGACTGTATTGTTACATACATAATTTTCATCTTTCAGAGACAAAAATCCTGAAAATACCTATGGAATCCCACCATGTCTCAGAATACATCAGGACAATAATTTCTCACCTGAGCATCTGTTCTGTTCCTGAAAGCATCAAAAATCTTTTTAACAGCAACTGTTTCTCCTGTCTTGCGGTCAATAGCTTTCCAGACGATGCCATAGGCCTGCAAAGAAGCACGGACAGGTGAGCAGTGTGCTGACACCTGCATGCAGCTCAGGCCTGCAGAGGAACCAGCATGTGTTCAATGATGGACTGGAAGCAGAGGTGATGGAAGGTACATGGAAGAAAGAGAGATTAGGCCAAGGAGCTACTCCACTCAGGAGACAGACTGAGAGAGTTGGGGGTGCTCAGCCTGGAGCAGAAAAGGCTGCAGGAAGATTTTAGAGCTCCTTTCAGTGCCTGAAAGGGCTCCAAGAGAACTCGAGAGGGTCTTTGGAAAAGGGCTTGGACTGACAACACAAGTTGGAAGAGCATCCCACTGCCAGAAGGCAGGGTTTAGATGGGATTTGGGAATAAATCCTTCCTTGGGAGGGTGCAGAGGCCCTGACACAGGTTGCCCAGAGAAGCTGTGGCTGCCCCATCCCAGGCAGTGTCCAAAGCCAGGTTGGACAGGGCTTGGAGCAACCAGGTCTAGTGTAAGGTGTCCATGCCCATGGCAAGGGGTAGGACTGAGTGGGCTTTAAAGTGTCTTCCAACCCAGGACTCTAAGGACATCAAGGCAGGATTCCCAGTAACACGTGTAGTCCTGGAGCACAGGATCAGGACCTTTACCACACATCAGGCAGTTCAAACAGTAGTACATCAGATAAGTGCTACAGTACTACCCTGCTGGCAATTGGGAAACAGCCTCAAGTTGTGCCAGGGGAGGTTTAGGCTGGATACTGGAAAAAGCCGCAACACAGACTGCCTCAGGGCAGGCGTGGAGTCCCATCGCTGGGGGGATTTAAGAGCCACATGGACGTGGCACTAGGGGACATGGATCAGTGGTGGCCTTGGCATAGCTGGGAGAGCGGTTGGACACCACAGACTCAGAGGGCTTTTCTACCTCAGTGATTCCTTGACTCTGTGAACATAATAAGGGAAATACGAATACTTAAATACTTGTATCAATGCAACTAAACAATAGCAAAGGGCTGCCAGAATAGAAAAGCAGATAACTCGGGAGGGTTTAGAGACTGTCGGAGGACACATATCTTAGAAACTACCATTGGCTCATGTATAAAAATACATTTTATGGAGAAGATATGACTCGAGGCAGTATGATTTGAAGTGATGGGGTTACGGTCAATGTAGAAGAATTTGACAGTCACAGAGAGAACGTACTTTAAGACTCGGATCCATTTTACTATTTACTCTTGACCTCTTACAGTCCTCCGGAGTTCCCCTGGGTCACCTGGAGTTTCCACCAGGCCCTGAGCGACACGGACGCCTGAACTCCCAAACACCCCTTCACCTGCCCGGGATCACCTGGAGCTGTCACGGTACCCTGACCTTCACACGAGCCCCCCGAGCTCTCATGAGCCCTCCCAGGTCCCACGACCAGCCCAGATCCCACAGACCACCCCCTGCCAGGCACTCACCCCCTTGCCCAGGCGCCTTTTGATCTCGTATTTGCGGCACACGAGCGGCTCCACCTCGGGCGGGCTCATGGCGGCACCTCCCTGTGGGCTCCCGCTGCCATGGAAACGGCCCCGCGCACCGCGCATGCGCACAGCCCCGCGGGGCTCGCCGGGCGGTGCCGTGACCTCGGGCGGGCGGCGCGCGAACGCTGAGGGAGGAGAAGGAGCGGAAGGGCCCTTGCAGGGCTTGGGACTCGGGCCTGGAGGAACAGCACGGGGGGAATGGCTTCCCACTGCCAGAGGGCAAAGTTAAATGGGGTCTTGGGAAGAAATTCTTCCCTGTGAAGGTGGAGAGGCCCTGGCACGGGTTGCCCAGAGAAACTGTGGCTGCCCTATCCCTGGTAGTGTCCAAGGCCAGGATGGAGCAGCCTGGGATAGTGGAAGGTGTCCCTCCCATGGCAAGTTGATGGGATTGGACGAGTTTTAAGGTCCGTTCCAAGGTAAAGAATTCTGAGATTAAATTATGCTTCTTTGGGTTTTTTCCCCCCCTAATTTTGATTCTTCTTCCCTACTCCCACCCAAATTCCAACTTTTCTGATGAGGCTAAATATTATTTAGCTTCATTAAACTTACTTAATACAACACTCTTCAGTGAGTGTTAACACTTATGTCACGTTCTCTAAGAGTTTTCCTTTCTTTCCTTGTGTTTTATAGCAAGTAGAGAAGATCTCTGAAGCCAAATTCTTGTCTGAAATAGATGGTTGAAATCAAAATTGGTAAGCTGAATGCAGTCATTAGATATTCTGTTGTGACTTTTTTTTTTTTTAATGAGAATATTATGAATGTGGATTTAGTGTAATGGATTTGTATGACTTTGAGATATGACTTCAGTTTTATTAGTGAACTGGTGTCTTTGGTCACACAGGGATTTGGATTGCTGATGTATACTCCTGTGAAAAACGAGGTTTACATAATTTTTATAGAATTTAAAAGTTTAATAAAAAAAGCAATTAGGAGAAAAAAATAAAGTATACAGATATGGCCAGGTGTCTCTGCATTCAGGCAAGAGAGCACACCTCACTAACAAAGGATTGTCCCTTAAAAACAGAACCCTACTACATATCCATAAATTCTCACACATATCCATAAATTCTCATACATAATCAGACATTCTTCTTAGGATCTTTGGTGTTCTTCTGTTTAGTTTTCTCTTGCTCCCTTCCCAATAGATCAATCTTCTTGGCGCCATCGAGATTTACATTCTCTGATACCAGAAATGCAATAAATTCCTCCCCCCAGAGTTCTGGGCACTGCTATCTTCATCTGGATAAGATGGAAAAAGGAAAAAGAAAACGTCTCCAGCTATCTTTTTCAGTCTTTGGGTTATACAGACAAAAGTAGTTTTTGTTTTAATGCTATATCATAGCTTAACATATATGTATTATACCACTATTTCTAAGCTTCATCAATAACAGAAATAAAGAAAACTATATTAATACAACAAAAATTTCCATTCTTATACACATAACATTCATTTTAATATTTGCGAAAAGCCAACAATATATGTATCTATAACACTTCCATCACTAGCATCATTCATTTTGTGTGGAAGTTTTCTTTATTTGATAATGATTTCTGACTCTTACAAAGAGGCTTATTCCTCTCAGCCCATATTTTTTAAGAAATTGCATTCAGTTTAGTTTTAAATGTTCATTTAGGATTCCTCAAGGGACTCACTAATTACTTTAGGCTGTATTGTTTATCTGCTTTACATTTATCTGCTTTAGTGTGTTCATAGAGGCATAAAGTTTTGTGTGCGCACTTAACAGCATACACCAAAGCTGAGGTCTTGGTTGTGATAATTGCCTCTGTTCTCATTGTGGTTCATTAGCCTTTTGGCATGATGGGTACCAAGATGGGAAAAGGCCATCTGTCTGGCAGCCCAGCTAGTGAGATTGGTGGAGTGCTGCTTCTGAGACTACTGGTTCAATTCTCATCTCTACCCAAGTCCGAGTTTTACCAGTGACTTGAGCACTTAAATCTGATTAAAATATGATTTAGACAACAGCTGCAATCAATTTAATACAATCTAATGTTTTCACACCTGTTGGCTGTTTATTAAATACAATCATGGAGAGGGGCTGGGTGCTACACTTTCATTATCTTTTCTTCATTCACTTTACATGATTTGAGTCTTGTCTATTGAATAATACACACAACTGCACAAAAATATTAAATGAACGATTCTCAGTGTAATAAATGGAATTGTTTCGTGCTAACTAAATTTTAACTATCTGGAAAGTTTTTATTAGGAGCAATCAAAAGAATCAGTGTTACAAGGCAGATGTACCCCTTCATAGATGTTATATGTCAAAATTAAGGTACAGGATGTAGTTTGGAAGACAAGTGATGTCCCAAGACGAAAACTACCTTGAAATGGACAAAATTAGAATGACTTTAGGCATAGGGCCTAAAATTCATCAAATGTAAGACTAATTAGTAGACTTACATAGTACAACGCTTAGTACATATGCACAAACCCATGAGGTTTTCCAAAGGACAATGAGGATGAGTGTAAGCCTTCTTCCAAAGACCACCAAAAGAAGACTGAAGACCCCCGAACAACAAGTGAGGCACGCGCCGTGAGGAATAGTGACATAAAGTCAGAAAATCAAAAATAGGAGGAAACTTACGGGAAACATTAATGAATATGTATAAGCATACAATATATAAGTTTAGTTTGAATTGTTTTGTTTTGTATGTGAAGCAGGTTGAGAAACCCCCTCTGCACCCCGGTCAGTTTTGTACGTGAGGTGGGGTGATGAGCCCTCCTGGTACCCTGGTCGGTTTTGCTTATGCTTTAATCATACTTAATTACTGGCAAATTACATATCTAAATTGTATTTTTTTATTAAATTGTATTCTTTCACTAAATTGTATTCTTTTATACCAAATTACTATACAATTTACTAAATTGTATTAATTTCTAATTAAACTGCTGTTAGCTCAAAGGACCTAGTTGTCAAAATTCTAATTTCATTTCTAACATCAGACATTTATGGTGAAAGCTTTCCATGGGAATTTTGAGTGTTTCTGTCTTCTCCAAACACTTAATTTCCTTGTGGTTGCACATTGCATTTGCAGACTCCAGTTATAAGCTCTGTTCTCCATTAGTATTAGTAATTCCCAAAACTCACACAGATTTAACTTTCAATCAAGGTAAAAGCAGTCAAAATACTTCTC